GTCACAATATTTTCCAAATATCATTTTTCAATAATATTCATTTTAAATCATCCTTTGTGAAGAACTCATATGTTCAAAAACGTTTTAAACTCGTAACTTTGGAATGCAATATAGAAATAAGGTAACCGTGTTTCACGGGTGTCGTGGGGTGCCTAACACCTTTCCCATGCACGATCAAACCCCCGGACCCATTACTCTAGTTTCGTAAACTAAATAATGCTTAAATATCAATTTTTTTTAGTCATTAGATATCCTAGGGTAACCTAACACACCGAAACCCTATGTTAGTCAAATAAATAATACTTCAATATCAATTTTTTTTAGTCCTTAGACATCCTAGGGTGATCTAACACACCAAAACCCTATGTTAGGTGGCGACCCCAAATTAATAAAACATAGGCCGTAGCGACTCCGTCGCATTAAGGCCTTTTGCTGACCCATAAGTGTAATGATCCTGATTTTTCTATTTTCCATTTTCTGGATTTTATGATTTTTCGGGGTTATTTTCGTCTTATCTTGTTTTGCATGCCGGACACCGTGGGGTGTGTCGGGTGTGTTGCGAGGGTTGATTGGGTCATTTCCTTGAGTTCAGGACTCTTGGAAACGCATTGTTTGCCATTTTAACATTTTTCAATTTTTGGGCCGGAAGGTCCCAAGTGAGACCCGCAACCGGAGTTGTGGCATACGGGGATTATTTCTCGGGGTCATTGTAGTTCTTACATTCTTATTTGATGCACAGTTGTGTGGGTATATGTTTGGACGTGTGGTTGTGGTATGTTTATTGTGTATATGTACATAATAAGACAAAAGGGATATTTTGGTTATGTGGGACCCGTCGGTGACTATTATTTTTATAAATGACCACATGGCCATTCTTCCATTCATTTTCTCCTTCTTCCTCTACCGAAAGCTAGCTCTCTGTATTCTTTTTTTCTTTTTCTTTTCTCAAGCTTTCAAGCTTTGATCCATCCCTTTCTTCTTGGAATTTGATGTTGCCGTAGAAGGCAAAGTCGAAGAGAGCGTCAAGGGCTTCGATTTGATCGGAGCACAGTTCAATTTGGGTCATCCTTGGATTTTTTTTAAAAAAATTGGGCTGATTTGAGGCTTTGGCTAATTTATTGAGGTAGGGGTCCCTCTAATGCTTTAAGTTTGTCTTTTGATTGAGCAATTTCCATTTCTACTTATTATATTTTCAGAATTTTAAACATTGATATGAAATTGTTATTTTATGTAAGTATCAAAGCATGACTTATTTTAAATTTTGTAACAAAGACATGTATGAATTGGTATATGGAATTTGTGGATGTCTATGTGATAGTTTAATATTAGTGTGTATATAGTTTTATGATGAGCACGCCCGTAGACAATTCTTGTAAATGCCTGCTTTCTTAGAACAATGATGTTATGAATTTCCTTGTTGTATTAAATTCTCAAAGCATGCCACGATCTTGATTAATAGCTATAGCATGCCTTGATTAAGTTCTTTGAAATGTGAATGCCATGTACATGTATTAATGTTATATTGTTGAGATGGATGTTTAAAAGACATAACATGGTGCATTGCATGACATGGCAAGAAAGTGGGTTTTAAAAGGTTTTAAAAAGAAAAGTTTTATTTGAAATTGAAAGATTTTTTTTAAAAAATGAACCGGATTTTGCGAGTCCGGGGCTAGCTTGACCTAGAGGGAGCGCGGTCCGATGTAGGGCGTGAAAAAGTTGATACTAGGCCCGGAACAGTTGCCAGGCTTTGCCAAAATTAGAACTGGAGATAGTTATCAATCTCGCCTCGGTAAAGTCAGTTAATGATTTTCGAAAATGGAAAGTTGGGTCAGTAGAGACCAAGCACGGAAAAGGGTTGCATTGCATTTCATGTTATACATGATCTTTAAAATGTATTATGTTGATGAAGTAAATGCTTGTTTGGAATGCAAATGCTATTATATGGACTCTTAATGCATGACCCGAGTTTCTTTATTCCTTTTATGCGTTACGTGGCTCAAGGGAGTTTAAAACTGACACCTTAGGCGACTTCTATTGAGCCCTGTGCTCATTCCTTATTTCTTAACATTTTTCAGGACACGGGAAAGAAGTGGCGGACGACGAACCACCATAGATTTGGTCGAGGTTGGATGTCTATCTTTAGTTATCCTTTGTACAGCACCTTATTCTTTTGTAAAACCATAACATGACAGTTTTGACTTAGGTGACTTCAGGTTCGGTTAAGGACCTGGCTAGTGATTCGGACTATCGGGTTTGGGTCGTTACAATAAGTGTTTAATATAACTCTTAGAGAGGATGGGAAAATCCGAGGTGCGAAATTTTCAGAGTTTAATATTGCACTCCTTGTTTTTTTTATTTTACTTTAGTAAAAGGTCTCGTAATAGTTTCAACACTCTTGGAATGAAAAATAAGGTAGACAACGAGTTATGATGAGAATAAATTTTTTTTGGTACTTTTTATTTTGGTGGTTCAAGTGACTAGTGAAATTTGTAAAGTCTTTATAAATTTCAATTATAAAACTTACTCTTTATAAATTTCAATTATAAAACTTACTTTATGACATTAATTTAATCAAAATAATTTTTATTTTTATTTTTATTTTTTTATGTGAGAGTAAGACTACGCTAAGTTGGGCCCAATTTATTTTTTGCACAGAGCCCGCTCTGCGCACATCCGTCACCATCATCGGTCACCAACTCACATTTTACGATGATGCAACAAAGATGGTCGTTGGAGGGACAAAAACCTTGACTTCAATATATATATGTACATATATATATATATATATATATATATATATATAGATAGATAAATAATTTTTAGTTTACGTTGTGTCTTGATCTTCTAATCTGAATTGCTGGTGCCTCGTAGTATAAGTTTAACATCAATTAGAAAAGCTGTGTGAGAGATACCGCTACAAATGTGGTCAGCCTTGCAGTGTAGAGTTGAGTTAGTCGCTCCAAAACCACAATCGAAGAAAGTGAACCTCTCTACAAATATTGTAACAAAATGATAGTAATACAAACAAAAATACCCTTATAAGAGGAACATTGTATTCACAATTTGTACAAAAATGAGTGGACAGGAGAGGATGAAGGATAGATGAAAAAGAAATGTCACATTTTTTACTCTTTGTTCAAAATTTATAAATTAATATTTTAATTAAATATTTTTATAATAATATTTTTTAATATAATAATATAAAAATCTAATCAAAATATAATTTTATAAATAACTATTGAAAGAAGCGTGTTACTTTTATGGTTTTACAGAACCATTAAAATAATTAAAAGGAATGCTTCTTTGGATAAAAAAAATATTCAATTCATTTAAAATATTCAAGTTCTAGCTTTATCTTTGAAAGAGAATCGGAAGAGATGCATCCTAAAAGTATCATTAGACAAAGTGGACAATTTGGTAGTCGAACACAATTATAAGAATTCATCTAAGTGTTTATAGGGATCTTCAGTAACAAACCCATGGAAGGAAGGAAACATTTGGATCATTGCTGATTTGATCTCAAAATAGGTTGCATTAGCATCCAGGAATTGAAAGCATGAGGGAGAGGTATAAGATGTTGGAATATAATGGTGTCCCTCAATGGTGTAAGAGTAGGTACAGGTGGTACAACTGCTCCTAATGGATTATTACCATCAGTATTAGCCATATTTGGATTAGAAGATTCTTCTAATAATTTAGAGTCTTTTTTAAGTTTTCTAATTTGCCTAAGAGTCTTTTCACTTTTCGGGTCGTATTCAAGTAAAAGGTATGATAAGGAACAACAACTCAGTGGCAATAATTAAAATAAAATTTTCAAGTAAAAAGATAAAACAACAAAGGCTCACAAAAAGTCCTGAGTGTCTAACACCTCCCCCATACACAATCAAACCTCCGGACCCTTTACTCTGGTTTCGTAAACTAAAATGGATGTCACATAAATAATAAATATCATTTTTTTTTAATCCTTAGAACACCTATGTTAGGTGGCGACTCCAAATTAATAAAACATAGGTCGTAACCAATCCATCGCAATAAGCCCCTTTGTTGACCCATAATTGTTTAACATAACTCTTAGATAGGGTAGGAAAATCCGGGGTGCTACAATAAGAAATTTCCAAAGTTTAATATTGCACCTTCTTGTCTCTTTTTTTATTTTGGTAAAAGGTCTCATAATAATTTAAACCCTCTTAGAATGAAAAATAGGGTAGACAACAAGTTATTATGAGAATGATTTTTTGATACTTTTTATTCTGGTGGTTCAAGTGACTAGTGAATTTTGTAAACTTTTATAAATTTCAATTATAAAACTTACTTTATGACATTAATTTAATCACAATAATTTTTATTTTTATTTTTATATTTTTATGTAAGAGTGAGATTATGCTAAGTACAGCCCCAATTTATTTTCCGCACAGGGCCGACTCTGCGCACGTCCGTCGCCATCATCGGCCACCAACTCAAATTTTATGATGACACAACAAAGGGACAAAAACCTTCGATTCCATCTTGACTTCAATATATATATATATATGTACATATATAATATAGCTTGTAATTTTTACTTTACTTTGTCTGGTTCTTCTAAGCTGAATTGCAAGTGCCTCGTAGTATGAGATTGGATGAAACATACCCTAATAAGAGGAACATTGTATTCACAATTTGTAAAAAAATTAATGATAACGAGAGGATGAAGGATAAGTGAAAAAGAAATGCCGCGTTTTCCACTTTTTGTTAAAACTTATAAATTAATATTTTAATTAAATATTTTTATAATAATAATTTTTAATATAAAAATACAGAAATCTAATCAAAATATAATTTTATAAATAACTATTGAAAGAAGCGTGTTACTTTTATGGTTTTACAGAACCATTAAAATAATTAAAAGGAATGCCTCTTTGGATAAAAAAAATATTCAATTCATTTAAGATATGTTGCATCTAATTGAGAAGCTAGTAAAATTGAGTAATAATTGGCCACACTTAGAACACTTGCAAAAGTAATCATAAAAAAGAAGATAGAAACATTATTTATGAGAGCTTCTCAGTAAAAAGTGATATTGTTTTCGCCTACTCAGTCAACGACTTAATAGACTTCCCACAATTACAAAATAGGTACCCAAAACTAGCAAAATATTCAAACTTTAGGAGGTTGAAGGAAACGTATGCTTCAACTCCACAACTCTCCAACAAATGCCATTCATGCTTCTTCCATTCGTTATCAGAAGACCATCAATTTGCATCAAGTTCCATTTCCCTAAGTTCCGCCAATGAAAGCGCTTTAGTCTCTCCCTGCACTTTGATTCCCGCACACCTACATCAAGAATCATAATTTTAAGAGCATAATCATCAAACGAATAAAAATTTAGATGCTTTAAATAATTATGATGTCAAAATTTTCTCAAAAGACTACAGCATAGCACATTTATTCACGCAATCCACACAATCACAGCAACCATCTATATGGTTCATAGCAGAATTTAGCCACCACAAATAATACCGTTACATTTTTAGCCAGCAGGGATTCAAGACTAAATAAACCAAACATGATTATGACAAATTCATGGATCGGAGACTACGTGGGCAATCTTGGCATTTTCTTTGGACAAACATTTCACATACTAACCAAAAAGGGCTTCAAGCCCAATGGGAGGGGTTCGAGCCCCGAAGGACACAAAAGTGTGAGTACTTACCTGAACTTACACACGCCCACACAAAACATTTTACACAGTACTTCCTATTAAAAAATATTTTGATATATGACATAATTCTCCATAACTTCTTTAGAACTAATTGGAAGATGATATGTTTTTATTTTATATTTTCTGTTAGACAACTTGAGTGACTAAATATAATACTTTAAGTTATGCCCCTGCTGCATGGCTATAGGCAGCTACAGCAGTAGTATATATACATGCTTTACATATTGTTTTCTCCGTACACGTCAATAAGTTGAGTTATCGTGCATTATGAGGTCATGAACAGAAAGAAATTAGTATCATCAAAATGAAAAGAAAAAATAAAATAAATTGGTAAACGAGGTACCGCAAATCTAAGATATTTAACAAAACTATACATGGGGTAAGGGGCCATAAACTTATACATCCAGATGACCAGTACCCATTTATATGAATAAGCATACATGAGAATAGTAAAATAACACTAGGCTTTCATGTAGAGTAGCAAGGGCCATGATCTAGACCTAGAGGGGGGGAGGGGGTGAATAGAACTTGAAAGAGTTCACTAACTTCAACTAATTTCTGAATTTTGACTAAATTTGATAGTTATTCGAAAACTAAATTACCACAATAGCAATTAAACTACTCAATCCATCATGCATCCAAACATAAAACGAATCAATCTTGCAAAGTAACAAAGTAAATAGCACAATAGACACATATTTTAAATGGAAACCCCAGAGGGAAAAACCACATGACCCTAGTCCATATCATATCAAACCAACTAAAAATTCACAACTAGGTAAAAGCTCCAAGACCCTGAAACCTCAAGTTAATTCCTCACACAAACTGTAGTCAAACCCTCCACTCGAGTGTTCGGGCCTTTAGTCCACTCTGTCAATCAATCTGCTCTTTGCAGCATCTGCTTCTCTTAAAATTTGATCACTGGTCCAGTCGTACAATCTGATCCTTGTAAAGTATCTTTGCTTCTCATCTTCCACGGACCCAGCATGGGACCAGGGGGGGCAAATGCCCCCCTGGATTTTTAATATTTTCATTTTATACCTTAATTTTTAAAAAAATTATGAAAATGCCCCCCCTCCTAAAATTACAATTCGCCCCATTAGATTCCTTTTTGTAGCATTTTATACTTCAAATTTTGATAATTTATGAAGATGACTCCACTAGAATTATAATTTGCCCCATTGATTTTTTTTTTTTTTTTTTTTTTTTTTTTTTTTTTTTTATACTTTAAATTTTTTAAAATTTATGAAAAAACTCTATTAAAATTACAAAAATGAATCCATCATATAATTTTGTACCCACAAATTAAAACGCCGCCCCCCTCTCACAAAATTTTCTGGGTCCGTCACCGCTTCTCATGAACTCATTGTAGTGACAACAATAATATATTCCCTCACCACTCTATTATGAATGCTGAATGAATAAAAAAATACTCTAGCAAGAGATTGCTAGAATACTCTCAGAAACACTGTATATAATAGCTATAAAATGCATGCACTCTTTCTTGCCTAATGATGAAAACTAGATATATTAATAGATAGCAAAGATACCTAGAAAAATTAGGGTTTTGAGAGTTTTAAACAGAAAAGAAAACCGGTTTTCTACAAAGCAGAGAGTCTGTCAATCTAAACCAGTCTAGTAAGTTTTGATCCAATGAACTTCCATTGATCATTTGATCAATCGAAGTTCCCCGCAATTGAATACTTAGGTTCTTCAAACTTTGTAGTTACCAGAAACACAAATATCTAAACAAAAATGGATTTTTCAGAATCAAACATGAATTACATGAAACCCTAATTGATGAATGCATGAACCTAATTGGGTGGCAGCATATATGATTATCAAATTTACCTTTATACCCTTCAATTTCGATTGTTTCCATGGACGAGGTAATTAAGTTGACGTTAACTAACATTCAAAAATCTAACTGAAAACAAATAAAAATATAGATTTAAGTGTCAACCTAAATCTTATTGACCAAACAATACCAATGCCAAGATCGTATGAACACCTAGGTAGCCAACCTTGAAATAATAAGTAAAAAAAGCTATACAGAAAACATTATAACATGGAATCAAATTAAATTAAAACGTACAAAAAATCCAAACAAGAATGAATCAAATACAACATTTAAAACAACAAACAAACAAACAAACAGGTTCCCAACTGCTTCATAATGATAAAGTTTGTCAACAAGGCAAGTGAAAGTGTTCACAAAGTAAAGAATAGTTAGCTCAGACCAATGGCAGGTATTTTGTGTGTGCACACTGCACATATGCATTAGCAATAACCAAATTTGAAGCTAATCTCCACATCCAAACACTAACATTCTATATGCTATACACTTGAAAATTAATACATGACACAATCAGTCATCATGCATTTCTAATTTGATCTTTCAGTAATCATATATTCTTAAAGAAGGTTGAACTACCTCTCAAAAGGGTGTAAAATCAGAGACACGGTCAATTATTTTCCTTTGGGGGCAAATGGATATGTATCATGTCTAGGAAGTATAAGGACACAATGACTAGTCGAACATAATAGTTTATGAGTCATTCTCAGTTGCAAAACTTGCGAACGCTGTGACCATAGTCTAATGATTTTGAGCTGTGGACTATAAGGTTTCTTACCAATTGTAACAACATTCTTGATTACAAACAAGTTGCATTGAATTTCAATATAGTAGAAAACCAGTGATGTTATTTAAGTTTCAGCATTAACAAAATCTAGACAAAACACCAAAACAGTTGAGCCACTGTTAACTATAAATTCATTCTCAAAACTTTGTTAGCACCCTATGCAGGCCCTCAACTCATTCCTAACCCGAACAAGAAAAGGAAACAAGAAAAAAGCCAACAGCTCATTTTTCATTACCCATATGTCATTATCAATAGAGATGATCAACTTAAGAAGACAAGAAAATCAAGTCCACGCACAAAATGACCGCTTAAACAGAAACGCTCTTGAAAGCAAGTTCCAAAGAAAAGGGGAAAAAAAATAGCAAGAAAAAAGATTTATATATGTTTCCCATAATTTCCAAGAGTACATTAGTGATGAGGTATATGAAGTGAACATCAGATATCATCATTGAATTATGTTTATGTTTCCCATAAATATATTGAATGGATAGAGTGAATGTAAATTGCAACAAGCAAATCCTTACCTTGAACTGATGTTCAGCACGACAGCATTATCTCCAATGATGGCGTCCTTAAGTGAAATGAGACTGGGAACATAAACAATTATTTCAAAATTTGATTCAGCACCATGAATCTTAAGATATTTTAATGTTGGTCTTTCGGGATCATAACAAACCACAGCACATTTAAGATAATGAAACATCAATACTGCCCCATTTTTCAGGTAATTTATTGGCTGATATAAACCGTAAGGCCACCCCTGATCAAGTTGATTATCAATAGAGAACAACGTTGTCCAAGATTCCCGAACACCATATTCCTTCATGACCCATATGTAAATGGGATCATAATTTGCATCACATATGCACAGACAGTCTTCCAAAACTCCCATGGACACATTATGCTTCGTACTCAATCCAACCATGCCGACGTCATCATCGTCATTAGAATTATCATATTCATGAGGAGGCGATGGAAACAATTGCAACTGCTCATTCTCCAAGTTAAAAGAAACTATATAATCAGTATAATCAGTAGAACTAGATTTGGCAAAAGAAAAAATATAATCAGTAGAACTAAATTCAAGACTGATCATCCAATGGATACATCCCTCCAGATAAGTGGAAAATGCTAGGCTAGAATATAAAAAGGGAGCATCCCCAATGCTTTTCCATGATCCTGCAGTGCCGAGAGTGTATATCTCAATCCCTTTACTATAATTTATCGGCCCCGAAGCAGTGTTCAAATATGCCATACCCATAACCGGATCACCAATCCACCGTTCAAACATTCTAACCACCTTGTATTGATCAGTCTGAGGACTAAAGCCAAACCCACACTCAACAAAATATTGGGTTTTCTCCTCAGCCCTTTTAGTCATAGGAAGGCTTATATACTCACCCGTGACTGGATTACACACAGCCACAGGTTCATTAGACACCGGTTCAGACAAAAAGAGCATACCATGGCAAGAATTCACAATTTTGAAATTTGGGCCATTAGGGAGGCAACCCATTTGTGCATCACCCCCTTCACTACTGAGCACCATTTCGGCATTGCGCAATGGGATCTTCAATTTGTTGTCAAGCTTCATATGACGGTCGCATCTGAAATCGGCCTCGTCGTCACATATGCAGTATCCAAGATCGAAATTATGGCAGTCTTTAGGCTCAACCAAGTAAAGCATTCTTGAGTCTGGAACATGTGTTGAATCCAAGGTCCGAAGAAGAGCACAGGGCTCTGCCTGTGCAAACTGCTGCTTGGCGAATTGATGGTCAGAAACTATACTGAACCAAGTTTTGCAGACCGACTTGCAAACTAGAATACCCTTTATAGGGAGCTTTAGTAGAATATCAACAATTATAGGGCTCGGAAGATCTGTGATTGAAGACTCATGCTTGTCTCCTTTCTGGGTTGATTTTCCTTTCTTTTTCATGGCCACTGTTCTAAACCATGAGAGATCTCAAACAAAACCCTAGTTACCAACAACAAAATAGATACTATGACAGTTCATAGATTTGGAAGTCAGTTACAGTGAATATAAAACCCTAAGAGCACTGATTCAGTAACATTAGGGGAAGTATACATAAATGGCACAGAAATCCCTAGTTAGAAAACAAAAAGCTACCACACAAATCCCTAGTTAGAGAAATAACAGATACCATGAGAGATCTCAAACAAAACCCTAGTTACCAACAACAAAATAGATACTATGACAGTGTGTGTGTGTGTGTGTGGAGGGAGAGAGAGAGAGAGAAATACCTCTACAAATGTGGGGCAACCATGCAGTCACTTATGTAGAAATCGGGAATCCGCAGAGATGATGAGAGGAGGGCAAAAGGGACGGAATGGCGCGTAGGTGTTGTGTTGAGCTGAGTCGCTCCAGAGTAACAACAGTGGAAGACAGTGGCCCCTACAAATATTGCAACAAAATGATATGCTTACCTTTACTAATTAAACCTAATGTAAAAGGACAAAAATAGCCTTACAAGAGGAATATTTGTATTAGCCGTTTGTAGATAAATGGGCGGAAAAGACGGAACAAAGGATGAATGAGGACACCATAAATTATTACATTATCTTGCATCATTTTAAATTTGGTGAACTAATTTAATAAAATTAAAATTTTATATTCTGATATACCTTCATTATAAAATTATATAAAAATTGATGAAGTAAAAACAACATTTCTACATAATATATCATACTTATTTTTTAGTCACCCTTTTCTTCAGTTCAATTTTAGAGAATAAAATGAACTAAGAAAAAAAGAAATGATAAGTTACTGAGGGTTGCCTCATCTTGTTAGAATATTTCTCAATTTTATCTGGTACTTTATTTAAGGTGGAGAAATTTTTAGGAATAAAAAAATGATAAGTTACTGAGGGTAGCCTCGTCCTGTTAGAATGTTTCTCAATTATATCATCCTGTCAGAATGTTTCTCAATTTTATCATGGTGCTTTATTTGAAGTGGAGAAATCTTTAGTTAATGTGAAGTTATAAAAAGATCATTGTTCGAGGTAGAGCTATATTGGAGCACGTGAAGACAGTTTGATCACGTGAATCATTTGAGAGGTTGAACTTGCTGATTTTGGTTTACCTTTGGCTACTGCCAAAGTTAAACCGATTCAAATGGGGCTGAACCAATTTAACCTGGGCGTGTAGTTTTTTGGCTTTGGCTACTACCAAAGTTGAACCGGTTCAAATGGGAATGAACCGGTACAACTTGGACAGTGATTTATTGGAAGCTCCAAGAAACGGTTTCCTAATCGATTTTGGAAGCCAGAATACTTGGGAAAAAGACTGAAGATTTGGGAATAAGTTGACGAATATGGTAACTCCTTGTAGGCAAGTTGGGGAATACTTGTCCAACAAAGAATTGGGTTTTGAAGACTTTATAAATAAAGGCGAGTTTAGAGAAAGAAAAAGAAAGTGTAGAGAGAAGAGAGTTGAAATTGTGTGAGAAGAAAAAGAGTATGTAATCAAGTTGTTTGAAGTAAAGTTAGTCGTTATTCGCCCGTGGACTAGGCAATTTGCCAAACTATGTAAATCTCGTTTTGCTTGTGTGTGTGTGTTTTTTATCTGTTATATTTGAAAATTCTGTGTGAAACCCAAACAACATCTAACAGGGGTCTTCCTCATTAACTCGGGGCTTTCAAATTGGGGCCTTTTGTTCTTGGTTGCTTTCATTCGTCCATAGCAAATAGAAAGGAAACATAGTCAGACATAGGGAGTGAATGAGTGAATCTAATAGGGAAAGAGAGATTGAATCAGAGCGAGCAAGAGAGAGAGAGAGTATGCGTTTTGATGGTTTCGCGTTATAGAGAGTGGGGTGAACATAAGGAGAATCGAATCCAAGGAAAAGATGCTTCCTTGTTCTAGAAAATTATCATGAAAGGCAAGTCCACTGTAAGTGCAAAAAATTGAAAAGATACATTTACACCCACATCCAAGAGAAAAATGAAGTATTGAATTGAATATTATTTGATAATGCAAAAAGTATTGACAATAACCAACCGGTACAAACCCACCTCTTTCCAAATTTTTGCACTCACACTTACCTTTTTCAAAGTTCAACGAAGTGAATTTTTAAAAGTTGAAACCCTCTGAATCAAAAACTCAAATGAATAATTTTAATAGGCAACTACAGAGACCATTTCTTAAAGGGTTAAATGCTCCGACACCCCCTCCAAGTTTGCTTTTATTGCTCTCAGATTAAACCTAAGGAAAAACTACTCTAATGCCCCTATCAGACATTTATTTTTTAATGATTAACATACTTTGACTATTATACCCTTACTAAAACACAATATTCTCTTTTATTTTTATATTAGGTAAATAATGGAAAAGGTAACCGTTTTGGCTTATGGCTTTTGCCACTCGTCCAGGGCCGAGTGGTGCCACCCCAATTTTTTTGTGAGCCCATATACATAGTATATATACTGTGAAAAATATTTTATTTATAAAATGAATTGCAGCTCAGTTGGTGAAGGGTCCCATGTAAATACAGCTTCTTTTTAATACAGTTCACTCGTAACTTAATTTTTAATTTTTAATTTTTGTGATACCCCCTGATTTCCAGGCCGTGTGTTGATAAGGTCCAAGCCCAAAAGCCAGACAATTAATATTTTAGATTGAACACATAATACAAAAAGATAAATAATAAAGAAAGAATATCGCGGAAGGAAAACTAATAATTAAATAAATACATAACTCCTCTAAATAAATCCATTAATACACAAAGATAAATAAACCTCTGAAGAATAATCTACTAATTCCCAAATATAATTAATTCTCCAAAATACAACTCGAGAATCCTCAATGTTGACCCCTAATAAAAATCTCATAACTGAAATAAATATAACTATAACTATCTAAAACTGAAATAAATAATCATGAAGTGAAATCCTACGTCGATGACACCGGAAGAGTGATGAAGACAAGTCTCTGATTTGCACAAACAACTGCTAATCCTGTTACTAACGAATACCTGAAAAATATAACAAAGGTGAGTTAAAACTCACGAACAAGTCCTTTCTACGACAACCCAAACAGAGACCTGAGGAACTACACATCTATAACTAACTCATGAAATAGCTACATAATCAATAAATATAAATATACACACTAAAGATTCTCACTGAACTAAGGCAGACTCAACCGGATAGTGAGTATCTCATGCAAAGCGCACACGAGGTGGTCATGAGTCCTCCTTCTACCAGGGCACACGCATCTCTAAATCCAGCTACCTGTCTCAACTGGCAATGTACGCCTCCTCCCTAACCATTGATCACGAGACCTCAAACTCGTATCATGGTACATATAATATCAATATAAATATAACTAACCATATCCTGACAAAAGCGCACTAACAACGACCATACCCATATCCTAACAATGGGTTGGAAGCATATAGATTAAAATAGCCATATCCTAACAATGGCATGTCGTCCATGTCATGACAATGGCATGACATAAAACTATATCCTAACAATAGTTCCCAACATTCCACGTATATATAGATCGTGTTTACGATTATAAAATACAGCTATGCACTAGATTAAAATCACATCATCACACAGTAAATAACATACAATTTAATGTAATTAAATCTCAGGAATAACTTATAGTGATTTAAAGCTTCCTACATCAATTATCTGAACATAAACAGAATCCTGCGCATGCTGATAATTTATATTTACAGCCAATTAAGAGTTTCACGATCTTATCTCATGCTAAATATTTAATCTCACATGTTAAAACAATTTTATAAGATTAAATTCACAAATTCATAATTGAACTAATCTCATTAACATGCATTGTTAAAATCACGCTTTTTAATTCACATACCACTGTTCTTAAGTCCATATATATTGTTTGGGACCTTGAATAATCAAATCGGGGCCAAACAGAACACTTTTGCCCAAAACTACAGTAGCGCTCGAGCGCCCTCCGCACTAGGCTCAAGCGCTATTTCCCAAAAAAGGGCGCTCGAGCCCTGTAAAACAGTGCTCGAGCGTTGTTTCGGGAAACAGCTCGAGAAACCCATCTTCCAGCCCTGTTCTCCATTGTTAAGGGTCCTAAAGCATGTTACTAAGTCCCATAACCATCCATGCACAAATTAACATCAATTTAACATGTATAAATTCATTTAAAGTAGATCTAAGCATTTACTTTACCAAAGCATTCAACATGAACAAATATGAAAACATATTCACAAAACCTATGGTCTAGATCAATTTAAACATTAACACATATTTTATTAATCATTTTAAAATCTCTAAAGTTATACTAGAGATATACAGAACACAGATCTAAGGGAAAAGTGCAGAACAAACATATGTGTGCGTGTGTATATATATATATACACATATAACCTTAGTCCTAACACACGTCTAACAAACATAAAATAAACTAATTTTAATAATAAATTATTATTATTATAAAACACAACATATATATATATATATATATATATATATATATATATATACTAATCCCCATGGGTCAATATCCAACCCATTTACAGGGCAACCCTAAGATTCTAAATATTTTGAGAGGGCCTAGGCGAACTTTCAAATGTGAGGCCCTTGAGTTTTACACACACAAAAAAGAATTATAAGAGTGCGAAATTTTAACACAATGTTTTCAAATTCTATAACTAATATAATTGTGTCCATGTGCATTGTGCCTAAGACAACTAACTAATAACTATAAATCTATCACCACCAACAAATAATTGTGCGCCTGTACAGTGTTCATAAGACAACTAACTAATAAGTATAAATCTATTACCACCAATAAATAATTGTGCACATGTACTGCGTGCTTAAGACAACTAACTAATAACTATAATTTTTTATCACCACTAATAAATAATTGTGCGCATGTGCAGTATGCATAAGACAACTAACTAATAACAATAAATTTATCAATTAAAGAGTGCGAAATTTTCACAGGCACAAAATAAAAAATGAAGTGAACAGTTTACTAGAGGAGTACACTACACTTTGTTGTGTGTTTTTTTGGGAGCCAATTACCCACAGTGATTGATTGATCATTGCTACAGAAGACCTGTGCACCTTAATAGAAAAAACCATTAACTTTTGTTTTGTTAAAGCATGCTATTGATTTCCATGTGTTCGTACATTCTGATGGCAAGTGCTTTGACAGTATTATTAACTGAAATTCTAGCTGAGCCAATTTCAAATAACGTCAATAATGGCGGTATGTATCTTCATATAAAAATAAAAATAAAAAAAACCCTTAATTTGGCACTTTTAAGTATGAGCATAATTTAGAGATCGAAAAAGTTAATTATTACCTCAACCCACTAGAAGGGATCCTTAAATTTCGTGGGATTGAATGTGAAAATGCAAAAAATTATGAGGAAATGGGGTATGGTTGCTGCTGTTGTGAGATTGGAGTGGACTTAGGGAGAGGGAAATAGATTATGGACTCGATCGCCATGAAAGACACATGTAGAAAGGCACACATTTATTAAAATACTAAGAGAACCATAATATATTCATTCAGCTTTTGATAGCCATCACACACACAGTGACACACACAAAACCCTAGCTACTTTTCACTATTGGAACAAAGGTAAAGGCCCGAATCAAACGAACCAAAGTTAGAACAAATCAAATGATGAGATGAACGAAAGAAAGAAACATATATAAAAGATCGATTCATGCAAAAGGAGAGAGAGGATGAACGTACCTTGTCACCTGAGGCGATAGCGGAGCCTGCGCCCTGCGGAGTGTCGAAGCAGATTGTGTCGTCTGAAACTTGCCCTAACTTATTTTTATTTTGTCTTATTTCCATCCCCTATGGGCCTCAAATTTTGAGGCCCTCTAAAATCTGAGGCCCAAGGGGACCGCCTTGGTCGCCTTGGGCCAGAGCCGGCCCTGCCCATTTAGGATTCTTTATAAATAATCCAAGACCCATCTAGTTGGTCCATAGATTACAACCCAAATCCATAATCTTTTGAAATAAAATAAACAAACCATTTAACTAAACAATTAAGCATTTAAAATTCATTTAATTAAATAAACACATCACACATGAAATCAATTAAAAAATTACACATACACAATTAGCCAAAATAATTAATTTAAGTTAAACCAAATAAAAACAATTAAATAAAGCAAATAATCACACAATCAAATATAAAAGCAAATAATAAAATAGTCACCTAATTAAATAAAAATACAATTAAAACATTTAAATAAATCTCCAAAAATTAGGAATATTACATTTTTTTTTTTACAAACTTAGGCCCAATCTAAGTGGAGGAGAATACAATCTAATCTGGCTTTTGTTTTAATGCAGCCCATACATCCCAATCGAGCCAGCACACTCGTAACTTATTATTATCTTTTTATTAACTTAGGCCCAATCTGAGTGGAGGAGAATATAATATACTAATTTAACCTAAAGGAGAGAGAGAATATAAAAAGCGAGGGGTCAAAGTTTATACCCAATACACTTGATTTACTGATAGCCATTAACATTATTGTCCTGCACAAGACAATTATCAAACTAATGCTTCAAATTATAGGGAAAGTATATATATTAGTACATAAAAAATTTAAAAAAAAAAAAAAATTAAAAAAGGTGAAATTTACCATTGCCCAATGAGTCAACCACCCCCAATCAATGGAAAAGGGATCCTTCACTTTTTGGTATATATATATAGACATTACTGTCTGGCACAAAACAATTATCAAACTAATGCTTCAAATTTTTGAATATTAATAATTTAATATATATGACTAATTTTATGTTGTATTGAAAATAAAATTTTATGTTTTGCTAAATTGCTAATCAAGCATTAGTTTGAATGTTTGTAAATATAGCATTCAAGCTGATTTGCTGTAGCAAGGCTGCAAGTCTGCAAGAGCACCCGAGCAGTGAGGAAGTTGAGCAATCAAATTGGTTTCACTTCTAACCTTCCAGGTTCTATTGCTTTCACTCTAAAACTTTTCTTATACTATTAAAATGGCTCCCACTAGGAAATATATTTCTGAATATGCCTAAAAATAAATAAAAATTTTGAGAAATTGACTCAAAATTAAGGAGAAGCACTTGATAGGTTCATTGTTAGAGAACCACAATCTTCAATTTATGAACAGCAAAATGATGTTGAGGAGTTGAATGATAATGAAAATGTTGTGGAGGAATATGCAGCGGATGATCTTGATCATGATGCTAGTGACGACAAAGAGGATGTCGATGACGTAGGCCTTGGATTCCATCTTGACTTCAATATATATATATATATATATATATATATATATATATATATATATATAATATAGCTTGTGGTCAGAGTTATAATTTTTAGTTTACATTGTGTCTTGATCTTCTAAGCTGAACTGCATAGTATGAGTTTGGATGAAACATCACTTAGAAAAGTTATGTGTGAGAGATACCTCCACAAATGTGGTCTGCCTTTCAGTGATATAGAGATGGGGAATCCGCAGAGACGATAAGAGAAAGGCAAAAGGGGCGTAGGTGGTGTTGAGTTGAGTGAATCTCACAAATATTGTAACAAAATGATAGTAATACAAATTAAATCAACTCTGAAAGAACAAATATACCCTTGTAAGAGGAACATTGTATTCACAATTTGTAGAAAAATGAGGGGAAACAAGACCGATGAAGGATAGATGAAAAAGAAATGTCACATTTTCTACCTTTTGATAAAAGTTATAAATTAATATTTTAATTAAATATTTCTATAACAATGAAATTTAATATAATAATAAATAAATAAATAAACTTATCAAAGTATAATTTTATACTAATCAATCCTGTCTGGTTTTACGGAACCATTAAAATAATTAAAAGGAATGCCTTTTTGAATTAAAAATATTCAATTCATTTAATATATGTTGCATTCAATTTCGAGAAGCTACTAAAATTGAGTAATAATTGGCCACACTTATAAAACTTACAAAAGTTATTATAAAAAAAAGGGCTAAGGCCAAAAAAAATCCCTTAATATATAGGGTTTGTATAGAATTAGTCTTTACAATGTACATATTAGTTCATAAAATTCAAAAAAAAAACACAAATAAGCCCATATGACCAATTTTTGACAAAAACTAAATATAAAAACCTTATTTTATCTTTTTTGATTCCCATTTTGCCCCTCACCCATACGTACATATAACCCTCCTAAACCCATATGTGTGTATATATTAATTCCTTAGGTCCAACTGCCTTTGCCCTTTCGGTGTACCGCAGACTCGCAAGAATTTGCCACCCCGACCCGGCGGCAGAGGACCGGAAGGACTCGTCGGCGGACGAGTTCATCAAGATCTATGCCGCATATTCTACTCTTATCTGATCCGGAGAAGCGTGCCGTCTATGATCGGAAGCTCTCTCACCGGTTGTTCGTTTCGTATTCCGGAATTTTGACTTCTCCGGGAACAGCGACTGCGGGATATACTAGCCGGAATTGGGAGACGGATCAGTGTTGGTAGGAAGCAAATGGAAGACTACTGAACACAAGTAACTATTGTGCTGTGGGCAACATAATACTAGAATGACCGAGACAAAGAGTTGAATAAGCATTTGCTTGGAATTTCGAATGAAGAAATAAGTAACAGTTTCAAAGATATCGCAATTGATCAAATTCAAAGGCTAAGTGTATGAAGCTTAAGTGACTGCATTATTAAAAAACAAAGTCAATTTACTTTATATATAAAAAAAAATGTAGCCAATTCTTCTAACTTATTTCTTTCATTTACTTGGCATCATAGGAAATTGGGTCTTATTTTCTCCTCTTGTAATAGCTCTTATCGGTCAACTGTGGAAGCCTTCTCAATTTAACAGGTCCAATATTGTGAAGACCAGCAAAGGCTGAGCAATCTCCTTTGATGCCCTACTGTTTCTATAAGAGCATCCATTGTTTATGAAACTTTTTCAATAGTCTCATAAACCCACATTGTGTTCATCTATATATATATATACATATATTAATTTATTTGGTGTAATCTTTTTTGTTTGATTTTTTCTTTTTTGGTCGAATTCCCGTTTGAAAATGGGATCAAGAGGGAAATAAGAAAACATAATTTTACAAAAATTAGACACAAGTCATTTTACATGGCCTGTATTTATAGTTATTAATTTATTTAACTGAAGTGAGAGTATTATTGTTATTTTATACCACATAGGGACCTATTTGCACCAAATTAATAATATATGGAGATTTTATACCACACATGGACCTTTTTGCGCTATATCCATAGTAGAGGGAGATTTTATATACTTAACCCCATAAAGAAATTACTCTACTTCGATGGTGTCTCAAACATAATTAAACTAAAGTCCGTCAAGTCAACATAGACGTTGGTTGTGATATTTAGATTATCAAAACTCACTTCAACTATTGGAACCTCTAATACAACTTCTTATTCTGTTATTTATTTATTTATTTATTTTTAATGATGAAAAGGTGAGGATTAATGAGAGCATTGCTATTAGTGTTTTTTTCCCGAGTAGCATAACAGGAATTTTGATAGAAAAAAATACTTGTTCTTTTCTATATATCTATGTTAGAATATATTATATAATATATCATTAATTATCAGATATAACATTAGCTTATATGGTAATGACTTGTTCTCCACATATGATCTCTCTTATATAAACCTCTATGTACTCTTGTAATACATATCTCATACATCAATACAATACATAGTTCTATACTCTCTCTTATTTCTAACGTGGTATTAGAGCCAAGTCCTCTGTCTTCTTTATTTTATGATTTATGCATTGTTGGTGGTTTCAATAAATCTATCTACAATACATTTTGTTAGGTGTTTAAATTTGGTCTTCAGCAAGTCCTTTCGTAATTCAAAGCATACCAGGCGAAAGATCAGACTCAGACAGTCCCAACGCCATAAAAAACAACCGGAAAGAAGCCCGCACTCACCCGCACGCGCTGCTGCAACCTTCCCCTTTTTTTTCGGCCAACCACGCGTTTCCACGCGCCATAAGCGTCAGATCCACACCGTGTCACGCGCCCCATGCACGCCAACTCACTCTCTCAGTGCCAGGTGCGTCAGTTCCCAGCGTTAGCAGGATATGTCATCCTACCATGTTAGTAGGACACGTCATCATCTGGCCCACTTTCAGCCACTTCATTAACTAGCCTCATTTTATGCCACGTCAACATCCTAGTCAGTCGCCACGTCAGCATTGAGACCTAGTTCGCCACGTCAGCAGTCCACATCATTTGCCACGTCATTTGCTAAGTCAGCCCTAGTCTTTTCTTATTCGGCCATGTCAACAGGACAATTCATCACAGAGACCTCCCTTGCCACGTCAGCAGTGCCAGAATTTTTTTCAAAGACACTTATCCAGCCCAGTTTTTTACGTTGATTCTAAATTTGTAGTCCATTTTTACATTTGAGATTTCTAAATGGCACAAAATGAGATTATTCCTCTCATTCAAGCTGTTCTGAAAGAGCTTAACCAAAGGAGGACATGCTTGCAGACTCACACAGTGGTTTTTCAGTCAACATCCTCTCATCACAACGGACTACACAACCGCTATGATCACTATCTCTTTATTGCACTTTTTATCGGATTCGAGGACATTCTTTTCAAAAGTGTCGTACTCGTGCTACACTGACTTCACCTACTCTAATTATGGCTACTTCTCGCACTATGCCACTACCATCATGAGCTCCAGCTCCAGTACCTATGTCTAGCACTCCTACCAAGTCTTCATCTTTCTCATCTGCATTCTCTGCAATTGACCTTAAGGAAATCATCAAT